GCTTGAACTCACAAACTTCGAGATCATGACCTGAGCCCAAGTCGGACGCTTAACCGGCTGAGCCACCCAGGGGCCCCTCACCTGCATACTCTTGTGGCAAACTGCCCTAGGACTACGCGGAAGACCTACGAACAACACAGACGAACAACACAGACGTGGGCACAAGACTCCAACTGCGGAGTCCCAGAAGGCAGGTCTCACCTTGGAACAGCCAGGGGTAAAGGCCCCAGGGACTCCAAACAGCACTCCCTTCTTGCCCTTGAACAGCTCTGCCAGGTTCACCTTGTTCCCAGGTTCCCCTTCGAAAACCTCCACCGAAGGGATGGCCTCTCCTACCTAGAGGGAAGGATTTAGTAAGGAGTTAGCTGGTTACCTGGTAAGTTACCAGGGGAGATTGACTAGATGAGGAGGGAAATGAGGGGGTGGATAAGGGAGGCCAAGGGTAGGGCGAGAAACCAGACCTGGCAATTGCTCCTGGTGGAGCGGAGTTGATAGAGTTGGAATGTCCCAACCTGTCCAAGCTTCCAGAGGTCCCTCCCTGTGACCCTCCCCTCCCCACCCCCACCTGCCAGTTACTCCCAGGTTTCAAGGTGGCCCTATTCCTTTTACCAGCCTGTTGGTGACAACAGAAAAAGGGAGAGAAGGCCTGTCTGGGTGTTGCAAGGGATTGAGTAAACAACCCACTTTTCTGACCATAATGAAGTGGGATAAATGGGCAGGGGAGGAAGGGCAAGAGCTCCATTTGGGGGCGAGGAGGAGACCGTGGCAACAGGGAGGGAGAGGACCCCGGCCAGGTCTGAGCATCCAGCCCCCAGGAAGAGAAAACGGAGGGCAAAGGAAGGTGAGAAAGTTGCCTGTAGGGAGGGGAGGAGACGGGGTTGGGAGGGAAGTATACAATAAAAGGAATCTCTCGGGGCACCTGAGTGGCTCAGTGGGTTAAGCGTGGGACTGATGATTTCCGCTCAGGTCACGATCTCACGGTTTGTGAGTTTGAGCCCCGATTCGGGCACCGTGCTAAAAGCGTGCAGCCTGCTTAGGGATTCGCTCTCTCCCTCTCTCTCTCTCTCTGTCTCTCCCCCACTCTCTCTTTCTCAAAAACAAATAAATGAACGTTTTTTAAAAAGGAATCTCTCAAAAGGGATGGATCGGTCTACCTGGGAGTGTGTGAGGGCTTCGTGGAGCCAGAGGACGTAAGCAAAAGAAGGACGTGTCAGGGATTGGGAGGAAGAGTAAGCAGCAGGAGGAGGAGGAGGTCTCAGAAGCGTGTGGAAGGGGAAGGAGGGGGTGGTTGCAAGGAGCAGGGGATGGTTCCAGATGAGGGGTGAAAGACTCGGAGAAAAGTGGGAATTAGCCACGGGAGAAGTGGAATGGGGGGAGGCACAATATTGGCTTTCACAAAAACCACTT